TCGCATTTCCGGCGGGTGATAACCTCTCTGACCTTATTTCTAAGGCGACGCCATTTCTCCTCCGGGCCATTTAGATAGGCGCGTTGGCGCTCTAATATGAGAGCCTTAATCTCAGGTGACATCCAAGGCTTGTCCATTGGATGAATCTTCACGTATTTGGACGGAAAGTAGATATCGCTGGCTGATGAAAGATCCTTAGTAAATGAGTCAGTGAGAGAGTCAACTGATGGTGAGTCACCGTCTACTTCTAAATCACTGAACCAACGGTGTGAACACGCCCACCTCCCAAAAGCGCTTATTGCCGACTGAGGAAAGCGACGCATCGGGATCCTTTTCTTTTCAACGCACAGCGGGTTTAGTTGGTTCATTGAAAGCGGATTCCAGTGAACGGAGCCATGGTCCGAAGACCCTAATTGCGCGCTGACAATTGGTTCGCTATAGTATTCACTAAAATCCGTTAAAATAAGGTCTAGTATGCTATTGCCCCGAGTGGGCCTCATAACTACTTGTTTTAGGTTATGATTGGCTAACATGTCTGAGATGTCCTGGGTGTTAAAATCGCCTAATAACACTACACCACAGTCTGGATAAGAAGTCTTTACGGAGTCTAGTGTTTCTATGATGTACATTGTGCGATCTCGCTGCACTTGCGCAGAGGCCACAGGAAAATACACCACCCCACATATAATACCAGATAGTGGGCGTGGTAGACGATGAGGGCGTAACCATAGCCACAAACACTCGTGTTCTGGAGACTCCAAGTCAGATCTACGCTTGAAAGGTATCTCTGAAGACACGAACGCGCACACGCCACCCCCTATTCGGTTGTGGCGGTCACGTCTCGCGATGTTGTAACCTGGAATGGTAAGGATGTTATTATCGATGTAGTCATGCAGCCAAGTCTCCGTAATAATTGCAATATCCATGTGAAACGTTAAAAGCTGAGCAGTCAACTCGTCCAGTTTGTCCCTGACCGATCGAGCATTTGCCATGTAGAAACTTGGGAAGCTGTAATTGGGGCGTTTTTGAGAAGTAATCTTAGTTAGATTGATTACTTTCACTGCTCGTTGACGATTTACTGGTTTACTGGGTCCACGCACTGCGCTGCGAGGTGTGATCCTGACCGGAATCGATCGTGCGTCCTCTCCTATTGTTCGCAGAACAAAAGGACAGCTACGGGAATTAACATAATCACCAGTAAAGATGGAGACACAATTATTTAAATTTCTTGATCTTGAGTTGTAAATATTCCTGGATTGACAGGGTCTTGAAACCACAGGAATCGGCATGTGTTTTTGAGTGATCGTATTCCGAAAGCGAAGAATGCCCAGGTCTTGGAGTCGGTGTTTTAATTCAGGACACAAAGAGACGCCATTAACAGAGGCAGCCAGACTACCCAAAGTCGAAGTAGAATACGCAATTGTTGGTCGGGTTCGGTCAGAAGTCCTTTGCTGGTCACGAATTAAACAGGGTCCCGGTAGAGGGTGAACGTCACCACTTCTAATGATGTTTTCTAGTCCGACGGGCCGCAGGACAAACGCTGCTTCGGGCAGACATATCATAACAGGCCCATGTTTAGTAGTCTTCTGAACAGCGAACTTAACTCGATGTTTCCGGCGAAATTTAACCAGTTCCAGTTTGAGAGATGGTCCAACTGGCAGGTTAGTATCTTTAGCCGTCTTGTAAATCAAGCTGGTAAACCCAAGCTCCGCTAGACGGGCTAGAAGAATAAGAAATACGAAGAGCCTAATGACGGTGCGTGTGTCCGCCATTAGATCCCAGCCCCATCCAAGCTTTTTTTTCGAAGCATGGGCTTTCAATCTTTTGATGATCGCCTAAATTTCGTGGTGTTTTCGTGGTCTAGCTTTGCTTTGAGAAGAAGTTTAATGAGACGACGAGTGCACTTCTACTGGCGTTATACAGAGATATAGGAATTATATACACCCAAAAGAATTTATAGAGTACACCCTTGAGATGAGAATATTGAAACCGAAAAGTCACGTAAACTGTTTAGAGCAAAAATTAATTACACGAGATAAAAATAAAATGACAAAAGCCAATTTCTCAATACGAGCACACCGCGTGAGAAAGAATTCACTTCAAAAACGTTGGGTCTAGAGTAACTAATGTCAAAACTAATAGACTGTCACCTCTAAAAACCCTAATCACAGGCCAGGATTGAGAACTGAGAACTGAATATTTATCGGCTTTAATCCCATCAGTCCGAAGATCTCATGAGTAATTCTAGATCTCTTAACTGTTTCCCATACAATTCTTAAGATGTTAATGCAGAGAACTAGGTATTTATACATCACCTACTAACCCCTTAATTGATATTTTTCCTGATTCTCATCACTTGTCTGCTTGATATTGTATTGATATTGTAAGCCGAGAAATTCTGTCTTGGTCACTGATATGATGGGAATTAAATTCCACCTTCATTCGTCATGGTGCTTTCAAGTTGTAAATCACAATTTCTCATCTCTACTGTCAAATCTGTTTATTTCAGCAGGCAGCATTACTCTGGAGGATAAGAAATATACTTGTCCCACAAAAAATGAAACATTCGAATGTGACGCTGCAAAAAGGGTTCCGGTAGAATTCAACAGAGGAACATCATACAAAATAAAAGACCTGAAGGATCCGAGCGATGAAAAAGAATCAGAAATTTACTGCGTTAAAAAAAGATGTATCGTGAAGAAGTACATACTACATGGAAGAGTTCAAGTCCTGGAGACAAACGCCACGACATTGACCTTCAAGATGCTAAAATTGAATGAGTCTTTGCGTTTTTCATGCAATGTGCACACCGCACCTGAGTATCAGTCTGTTGAGTTTCATACCAGCGACATCACAACTGTTGAATGTAAGTTGAATTATCCCGTGTCGAGAAACGATTTAAATTTACTCTACGAGTGTGTGTGTGTCGAGTTTGTGGTGTGTGTGTGCGTGTGTCGAGTTTGTGGTGTGTGTGTGTGCGTGTGTCGAGTTTGTGGTGTGTGTGTGTGNTTTCTGTAATGACAAAGGGAATTGCACCTGTATGGAAGAGTGTGGAGAGTACAAAGGCAGATTGCAACCTGGATATAAATCAGTAAACATGAGAAACATCAAGAAGGAAGAGGCTGAGGAAGATTTTATGTTTCATTTTGAACACAAAGATCCAGGAAAACAAACACCCAGAAAATGTATTTTCAAAATCGATCCTGTGGTTTGTCCTGGTAAGACAGCTTAGTGAGATGGTTTTTCGTTTCATTGGTGATAATATTGGCTTGGTCACGACTTTGTTATCCTTTAAGGTCAGGCAAAATGTTTTATAACATTGGTTAAATATTCGTACTTTTCTCTTACTTTGCAATATATGTCTATACCCCAGTATTAAACTTAATAGAAAATGCAGTCTGTTGCTTCTAAACAATATAATTATAAAGGCTGGGCGATAATAAACTAGTTTAATGAATTACAATAACTGCAAAAGACCGAAACATCGAATAACGAATAAATGTATGGGCATTGTGATATATCGCGACACACTGCGAATGAGGAGCTTGACAATTTGTTTTGCCACAGGCCCACCAACAGAAACCCCAGAAGTCACAAGAAGGTCTCCAGAAGAAAATAAAGGCACTGGAAAAGCAAATAACGACACACCAGGTATCATAAACGTTTATTTCTGTGATTGATATTGGAAATTTTAATTTCGGATATAATAATACATCTGAAAATTTTACGCACTTCTGATTGGCTAAAAACGAGTGCATTTTTCATTTAACACATGTGCAAATTCCAAGCAGAGCGTACTGTCAAAATTTCGTTTGTCTTGACTTTCTGTGATGCTTTTTTATGTAAATTATTAATAAGTAACAATATGATTTCTCGCGTAATTTGGTGTAAATCTTCAAGGTCCACTTTAAAAAATTAACACGTGCTTACTAGTACCAAATTTTTCTCGAATTTGTGTTATTTCCTCTACACATACCAGGAAGGTGAATTTACTGCGCCATTTTGGACTCACCCTGACTGTGGGACAGATCTGACCAAAGGCTCCAATTTTCTAGAACTTATACTTGCAAGGGATGTCACCCCAGTAACTTGATATAAAGTGCGGTGTATGTGTTATTTTTTTGTGCTGTGATGATGAAACTGGGCGATGATGAAAAGTTTTATGAATTCCGATAACTGTAAAAACTGAAATTTTAAGGAACGAGAAATTATACGACCGCTGTGAGAAATCAAGACATACTGCAAATAAGGAGTTTGATTATCTGCTAAATATTTTCCCCACCACAGGCACACCAACCGGAACCCTAGAGGTAGTCAAAGGAGGGTCTCTAAATGAAAATGCAAGCAACGTTATAAAACAGCCACCTACTACCCTGCATAACGTCACACCAGGAACCTTAAAAGTAACAAAAACAGTTTTATTTCTGCGCTTGGTATTAGCCATTTTGACTTTCCCTGGGTAGTGCGTGTGGAGGGTGAATTTACGCCGGTGATGTTTCCAACAAAGTCAACCGTTGAACAGATCTGAGCAAACGGTCTGTCTTACTAAGAAACGAGGTGTGGTTTAAGAATACCCACTACAGATCAAGGGTCCACAAACGAACCTTTGCATCATCCGGGAAATGGAGCTCATGCAATGACCAGGATATTGTACATCTTTTGGTGGAACTACAGCTACAAATGTTTCGTTATTGCTTCGTGCACGATTCTATGAATAAAAGTGTTGTGCAGCTATTTGGACATGATGTTTTTGTAAACACGGGAGTAAAGTTAAAATCCTGTATCTCCTCTTGATTTCCTTTTCGTGTCATGAAATCGAGGACCAAAATTTCCTCAGAATGTTTGTCTTAAACGTTCACTGATACGTTCACGAGAGTAGCACTTCTGTACCGTGCATGAAGCGTGGCTTATGCAAACTTTCCACCAGACTTGACGTAAAAGGGAATATCCATCGGTGAAGTAAAATTAAATTGAGTTAAACAGACGGAAATGTTGTGTGAATTAAAGGCCATACCGCTGTCGTGTGAAGGGAACATAACGCTATCCACTGGACAAAACTCTATCCAGTGGATAGTCAACTTCGTTCCCAGGGCCTTTTTTCCCCTGCCCCACCCCCATGTAAGGGAAAATGACCTGGGCACGAGGTTGGTGGATAGTAACGTACATTTTGTTGGATTGCGATTTATCCATCAGATAGTGTTATCCGGCCTTTGAACAACTGGGCCCTGGTAGAAGAAATCTGAAACACATGCCAAAGTTTGCAAAGCGAGGAACTCATACCAACTATCAGGATGTTTCTTGACTTCAAATCCTGTTAGACGCCGTTTAACAGTTGGAACGTGTTTCAGCATATGACTGTTCAAACAATAGCATTTTTCCCCAGTTTCCAAAGAAATAGAGTGTCTGAAAAAACCATTGAAAGGGAAACAGGGGTTTTCTGAACAAAATTTGACGGGGTTCGTCAGTTGAACACTCTATCTGAATTGCATTATCTCAAGATCTAATTTTCAATAATAGTTTTTTTTTCAACCGTGACCCTTTCAACGATTTTTTAAATCACTCTAGCACGGTTAATTGCCATTATTCTGACCTTTATATCTTTTTCCTTGTTTTACATTTGACGATTCAAGGCCGTCACGAAAGCCCGATTTCACGCGGATAGGCGTCCAGTTATCTTTATTATAGTCTCATTTTCATTCGTCAAAGCTCCCGAACAAATTCTGACTCAAGCGAAGAGTTATCCTGGAAACTAGGGATGTCACCCGTGATCTTCTTGACGATTCGGTGGCATCGTTCTGGTGCTGAATAATAAATAACTCTTTTGCTGTCCGAGAATGAAAATCACATCATGTTTCTGGACCATGTTCAAGAAGATTTTGTACACTGAGATTCCTTATGTTTGGGGTTATTTCAATATGCTTAATGATCGTAAGCCCTTTGAAGTTTTGAAGTTAAAATTTTATTGATGTAGCCATATTGGATGGGTATTTACGACGGACGATAATCTAAAACAAAGCAATTTATATTTGGCTAATTACATATTCTAAACGATGACCATGTGACTGTTGATTGAAAACCACTTAGTCAGCAGGAGTCAACGGATTATTACCTTAGGTATCCACTGATCAGTTACATTGCAGAAGCGACGGACATAATAACACAGGGCAATCCGCGATTCAGGAACATTGACACTCGCAAGCCCTTCAAGTGATCGGAATCTATGATGTATTTGCTGTTGACTTGGATAAAATGTTTTCACCAAATTGCAAGAGGAAAAACCATCTTCAGTATCTTCCTCGGCGCCTTACTTTTCAACGAAACAGGTTGGTTTAATTCAAAGTCATGAGGACATTTCGTTATCAGTCTGAACGCATTTGATGGGAATTTGTTGCACTGAAAGCACAAGTTGACTAGACGTAGATCGAATACACTTGAAAGGTTTTGTAAGGATTTAGTTAAACTTTCTTTCTGAAGTGATTTGCTCACATGAAAACATGTCTGTACCTCAATTGATAACATTTGATAACATAACGCGTGGCAATGACTATACTTGGATATTATTCAATCATTACACAACAGTGAGCTTTCGTTTTGATTTTTAAGTTTTTGATGTTTCATCGAACGACACTAGTAAGTTTATATTCTGGACACGGAACAAAAAAAAAAAAAAAAAAAGTAATTCGATATTTTAACGTCCGCCCAGGATGTGTTCACGTAAACACGTTTGAAAGTTGGGCCTGCGGAAAACGGTCACGTGAACATTCCCATGGGACATGTGGGAAAATCAATAAAGATTCGATGCGTCCGCCTCGGAGATTAAAGACCCATTTAAGTTTTCTCGTATTGGTAAGATAGCTTAAGGTTTCGTATTTAATCTTCGAAAGATAACAAACTCTACCACGATAGTGATCATGTTGAGCTGCGTCGTTGCTGTACTTTGCGACGGCGATTAGCAGTGAAAATTGTTATTATTTCAATTATATCACACCTGCTCGTTGAACTGAATCGGCACGGCAAGCTTAAAAACCGGCAATATTATCAACTCAACGCCTGTAACTGACTCCAGGCGCGATTACCGCAAGTTCAGAATTAATAATAAGGACGTCGAAGCACTGATTGAGAGCACTGGACTTCGTGTTGATTTCCTATGAATTATCTTTATTACGACATACCAATGCTCAAAACCGTCAAACTAAAATGCAAGCGAAAATATTTAGTCTAAGCGAAATGAAAGAACAAAGGCGAACAATAATTGGATGTGATAAAAACACAAACACAGGAAACAGCAAAACAACTAAACTAGAAATAAACCGACAAAATGAAACTAAGAAAGATAAAAACACGTGCTTAAGAGGAAGATTCATATTTATTGTTCAATTTCTCTCACATATCACGAATGTATGGCGAAATTACGGTAGAGAAAAGTTATTCGGGGAAATGTTGTGAACTGTCGACGTCAAGTTCGGCCAAAGACTGAAAACGGAAGTGTCTGTTATTTCTTTTCCTGTTCGAATCGGTAAGTTAGTTGAGTTCCGTTCGTTGTGTAGTGCGTAATAAGAATATTCCTTAGGCTGAGAGTCGATTAAAAACGTTTTTATTTTGCTTATCTGTATATAAAATGACAAGCATAAAATCAAGGTAGCAAATGTAAATTAAATTAATGTTTTGTATAACATTAACATTGATTTACTGAAACAGTGTAATGTATACTATGGTCGGCCGTCACCACCAAAAATGCAAGGATGTCAAATAGATTAGTAAATACAAAGATGGTTTAAGATCAGCTGCAGGATAGCATAGCTAATAAAGGAATGGCATGGCCAAATCATAGACAGTCAAGGTTTCCTTCATGAAATAGAACAGCCTAAACATAAATAGTTTAGCCAAATGATAAACGGTCTAGTTGCCCATGTCGAGTTGGAACATGAAATTGTGAAATGGACCAGCTAAATTGCAAATAGTCTAGCACTCATATGCAATACAGTACACAAACGGTGTAGCTTTGCGTCAAATGACTCAGGATAATATGGAGTAGCACAGCGTACGCACAAACGGTGTAGCTTTGGGTAAAATGGCTCAGCATAATGTCGAATGGTACCTCGTACATACAAACAGTGTAGCCTTGCGTGAAAAGGCTCAGCGTAATGTGGAATGGTACAGCGTACACACAAATGGTGTAGCGTTGTGCGAAATGGCTCAGCGTAATGTCAAATGGTACGGCATAATGTCAAATGGTACAGCGTACATACAAACAGCGTAGCGTTGCGTGAAATAGCTCAGCGTAATGTGGAATGGTACAGCGTACACACAAACGGTTTAGTGACGTAACGCTACACCATTCGTGTGTACGCTGTGCCATGCGACATCACGCTGAGCCATTTCACGCAACGCTACACTGTTTGTATGTACGCTGTGCCATTCTACATTACGCTGTTCCATTTGCGGTTTGTATTTTTGGTGGTTTCGGCGAGATAGCGATCTGCTGGGGGCATGACGTCATGCCCCCCAGCAGATCGCTATCTCGCCGAAACCACCAAAAATACAAACCGCAAATGGAACAGCGTAATGTAGAATGGCACAGCGTACATACAAACAGTGTAGCGTTGCGTGAAATGGCTCAGCGTGATGTCGCATGGCACAGCGTACACACGAATGGTGTAGCGTTACGTCACTAAACCGTTTGTGTGTACGCTGTACCATTCCACATTACGCTGAGCCTTTTCACGCAAGGCTACACTGTTTGTATGTACGAGGTACCATTCGACATTATGCTGAGCCATTTTACCCAAAGCTACACCGTTTGTGCGTACGCTGTGCTACTCCATATTATCCTGAGTCATTTGACGCAAAGCTACACCGTTTGTGTACGTTTGTGTACATATGAGTGCTAGACTATTTGCAATTTAGCTGGTCCATTTCACAATTTCATGTTCCAACTCGACATGGGCAACTAGACCGTTTATCATTTGGCTAAACTATTTATGTTTAGGCTGTTCTATTTCATGAAGGAAACCTAGACTGTCTATAATTTGGCCATGCCATTCCTTTATTAGCTATGCTATCCTGCAGCTGATCCTTAAACCATCTTTGTATTTACTGATCTATTTGACATCCTTGTATTTTTGGTGGTGACGGCCGCCCATAGTATACCATGTAATTTGAGAACATCTTGAGAACGTTTTTGGCCTCAAATCACAAAAGATATAAGAATGTTCAGCCTTCGTTTCAAAATTCAGCGTTCTTGAAAAAAAAAAGAAAGAAAGAAAGAAAGAAAGAAAGAAAGAAAGAAGAAAGAGAGTGGCTAGCGCTAGTGGTGATTACGTTGAATGAAACGTCGGGCAATAATTTGTTATGATTTTAGACAGAAAATCCAACTGCTAACTCCCAAATTTATCTAGCAATCTCGAGCACGCTTGTAATATTTCTCAGTTCTGTAGTCTCCAAATATTGCCTTGAGGATTACTGGTTCAATGCACACAACTAAATCACTAGTATGACATAACTTGGCTAAAACAAATAATTTGCATTGTCATACATAAATATGTCACTGAGTAACTTTTGAATCTGACGGTGTATGCCGTGTATAAGGTCCCTGTTTTCATCATCAGATGGTTTTCACAGGGCAGCCTTTCGCACCAAATGACTGAACTGACTGACATAAAATGCGCTAAAATCATGACAAAGTACATGGTTTTCAAGCTTCGGTTCTTGTGAGAACGAATTTTAACTTAATCAGCTTGAACTTTCTACTGACCTCTCATATTTGTATAGCACATATTTTAACGAAATTGGAGAACTGAGATATCTATCTTTAATTTCACTCTCGTTCGTTATGGCTTACCAACGGGTACTTAATCACTAGAGCGCTCATCTCTGTTGTCAATTTGTTTTTCTCAGCAGGCAGCAATACTCTAGAGGGTGAAAAATATACCTGTGCCACAAAAAATGTAAACTTTGAGTGTGAGGCTGCGAAAAGGGTTCCGGTCGCATCAAACAGAGGAACATCATACAGGATAAAAGACCTAAGCGCTAACAAAGAAATTGAGATTTATTGCTGCAGAAACAACTGTACTGTGACAAAAAATGAACTGTATGGAAGAGTTCAAGTCTTAGAGACAAACCCCATGAGAATGACTTTCCAAATGCTGAACTTGAATGAGTTTCTGCGTTTATACTGCCATGTACACACCACATCCGAGTATCATTCCACTGAGTCTCACACCAGCGACATCACAACAGTTGAATGTAAGTTGAATCGTCTTCAATCGAGAAACGGCAGTCTTACAAAACCTGAATTTTTACCATATGCCTTGATATCCCCCTCCCCTCCCTTGATGGACCAGTCATCGCCCGGGTGAGAGGACGGTTCAGAGGATTTGGCTTTTTCACAATAGAATTGACCTGTTCTCCCCATAAGGCTCTATAGTGTTCTAATGATCTCCCCTTCATTGGCAGTCAACTTTCTTTTGTCCCCCCCCTCCTTTATAGAGGGTCTTAATGGGAGGGTCGCGTTGACGGTTGATGGTTAAAAATAAGCCCTTTTGACGGTTGACGGTTAAATTAATTTTAGGCCATTTGACGGTTAACAGTTAATTTTTTGGAATATCGTTTATAAAATGAACCATACGCGCGAATTTGGCTCTAATCAGTTTCATAATGACGCGTTTGTAAAGAACTATTGATTTATAACACCTTTTTTTAATACCGGAGGTCAGTTCTGTCGATAATCAGTTTTACTCGCGACTAGAAATTAAAGGACTTGTGTAAATGTATTTTTGTGCTATGTCAAAACTTTTACTCATAACAACAGAACTTGGACCCAATTGAAGTAATCGTTTGGTTCATTTTATCTAAGTACATATATGTTTTTATTGACTTTCAGGTATTCGCAGTTGTATTGGCCAGGATGCTTACTTGTCTTGTCAGAGTTTCCAACAATTTCTTCAAACTCCGCATAGTTTGGGAGCGTTCTTGAAAAAACTTGGTGGATTAGATATATCTTTCTGTGATGACAAAGGGAATTGCGCCTGTATGGAAGAGTGTGGAGAGTACAAAGGCAGATTGCAACCTGGATATAAATCAGTAAACATGACAAACATCAAGGAGGAAGACGCTGAGGAAGATTTTATGTTTCATTTTGAACACAAAGATCCAGGAAAACAAAAGCTCAGAAAATGTATTTTCAAAATCGATGCTGTAGTTTGTTCTGGTAAGACGTCTTAGCGAGAAAGTTTTTCGTTTCATTCGTTAACATTCATTTTGTTGATGTTAACTTAGTCATGACTTTGTTATCCTTTAAGGTCAAGCAAAACGTTTTATAACATCGGCTAAAAGTTTGTGCCTTTCTCTTACCTTAGCTGTTTATATTCTAGTTTTAAACTTGATGGAAAATGCACTGTTTCTTGAAAGCGCTGTATATGTAATAATAAAGGCTGGGCAATAATAAAGTAGTTTAAAGAATTACAATAACTACAAAAAACTGAAATATTGAATAATGAGAAAATATACGAGCATTGCGATTTATTGCGACATACTGCTAATGATTACTTATTTTAACATTTTTTTTCTGCCACAGGCCCACCAACTGGAACCCTAGAAGTCACAAGAAGGTCTCCAGAAGAAAATAAAAGCATCGAAAAAGCACATAATGACACGCCAGGTATCTCAACGGAGACAAAAAAGACTTTCATTTCTGTGATTGATATTGGCAATTTTAATTTTGGATATACTGATACAGATGAAAAAATTACGCGCGTTTGATTGGGTAAAACCGAGTGCATTTAACACAGGTGCAAATTATAAATAGCGTGCGCTTTCAAAATTTCGTCTCTCTTGACTTTCTGTGATGCTTTTTCATATAAATTATTTATAAGTAACCAAAATATTTCACGAGCAATTTGGTGTAATGTGCCTATTAATACCAAGTTGCTCTCGAAATTATGTTACTACCTCTACATATACCAGGAAGGTGAATTTACTGCACTATTTTCGACTTACCTGACTGCCAGACAGA